AGCAGGAGGCCAGACTCCTGCCAGCCGCCTAGCCACATGGCTCCACACTTTTAGCACCCTCATGCCCCAGCCAGCCTTTTCACCACCCAACACCACCACCCAGAGCCCAGGACTGACCTCCAGTGTACCCTAGCCATGATGTAAAGTGTTTTGCCGAAGATCAAATTGCTGCTGTTCCAGGTGCACATCTAAACACTGCACCTAGGAGTAGTTTACTCCAGCTCAAACTGCTTTACAGTTTATTGCTTTGACTTAATTGCCATGTAGATGCACCCTGCATAAGCAATGGTCCCTCAAACATCCCCTTATGCCTGGTCTCACCAACAGAATCCATCATGATTCTGTTTCAATTTGTACTCTTCCAGTTACCTCCCACAACTCACATTCAGGGAATTTCCAAGGGTAAAATCCTGGCACTATTACAAAGCCAATGGCAAAATTCCTGTTGGCTTCAACAAAACCAGCATTTCAGATCTAGCTTTTCCACACTTGTAAACATTGTTAAATTTTTGGGTCTGTGGCTTCTCAGTTTAACTACTTTTCTCCAAATAATGGAGTTATACTTGCCAATTTTGCAGAGCTCATAAATGGTATTTAAATGTATTGAGCTTTTCACTGAATTGTTTTTCTTCATGAAAGTCGTGTTCCCAAAAATTTTGGTTTAGGAAATTACCCTTGGAGAAAATAAAAAGGATAAATATGTAGGAATTTTAAATGAAAATTCTATCATATAAATCAGTTTTGAAGTATAGTTAGTGAATAAGATGCTGAAGGCAAATCATAGGCTGGGAACCTTTGATATGATATGAAGTTTTTTAGCTTTAAGAAATCAAACGTAGTCTCTGTGGAGGCCTAAGTTCTCTTTGTAAGTCTTTTAGGAGGAGACTATAGTATATCATATCCAACAAACAATTCTTACACTCATTGCAATTCTACAATCAAGTCATTCCAATGAAAACAGTCATTCAGGAAAAATGCTGCTACTTCATAAAGCTTTTGACCACCTACCTGCACAGGCCTTGGACTTGGATGTTTGCAATTAGACATTACCATAATAAAGTTTAGCATTATGGAGAAAGACTGTGATTTTCTATCTTAAATTTCAAGACACTTCAAAATGAAAGAACATTTCCCAGTGGTGATGTAAAACATGAAAAATTATCAGGACTACTCTGAAACACCATACAGTCATAGATTCATAGATTCATAGATTCAGGGTCGGAAGGGACCTAGTAGATCTTCTAGCCCGACCCCCCGCCAGGGTGGGAGAACAACAAAAAACCCCAAAAAGAGAAAAGGGACTCAAATGAGTCCAGCCAGGTAGGCATCCAGCCTCTTCTTAAAGACCCCCAGGGTAGGGGCCAGCACCACTTCCCTTGGAAGTTGGTTCCAGCTCCTAGCCGCCCTAACTGTGAAGTAGTT